AGGACTTGGTTGTTACCCATCCCTAGTAAAGCTCTCTTTTCTAGTGCCATCAAGTGGAACTTCACCAAGGTAAGGGGGTGTGGTGGGGTGGGGCTTCTGCACCCTGTGATGTCTACCCCACCCGGTGGCCCTGACACCATCCCTCTCTGTGCAGTTCCTCATTGATAAGAATGGCTGTGTGGTGAAGCGCTACGGCCCCATGGAGGAGCCTCTGGTAGGTGCTGCCCTGGGGACCAGGTGGGCAGTACCGGGGGAGCAGATCCTTACCATCCTTTCTCCCACAGGTGATTGAAAAGGACCTGCCCTGCTACCTCTAGTCCCACAAACCCCCACCCCCACCCCCGCGGCCCCGCAGCCTTCCGCCCGGCACCCATGAAGGCCTGTCTGTAAACCAGCCCGCTGGTGGGGCAGACCCGAGACCCGGCGTGCACCTCGGCCGGAGGAAGGCTCGGCCCGCGGCGGCGGCCCCTCCCCCTCACTGTCGGAATAAAAGGTTCGCGTGACTTGCTGGCACCACCTGTGTCGAGGGACTTCTGTCCTGGGCTCCTCTGCACAGATCTGGGTCACCACACAGCTGGGCCCCCGCCTGATGGGCACACTGCTCTCCTGCAGGGCTAATCCTGGAGCCAGGTGCAGCTGCCCTGCTCTGGTTCCTCTCCGCTCACCGAAGCTGTGTAGGCAGGACCCAGGGGATGAGATGGGACACCTGGCCGAGTGCGGGGCCAGGCTGGGCAGGGTGCCGATTGCAGGGCCCCAACTGGCTGAGCCCAGGGTCGTGACGGGTACACAGGTCTCACTGGGGCCCTAGGACAACTACTGCCTCTTACATCTTACGGGACCCCACTCCCTCTGCCTGTGGAGTGCCTGCTAGCAGAACCGCCACCTCGGGGCCTGTCTCAGAATCCTTGAGGAACCAGCGTCTGAGACCCAGGTGCTGCTCTGAGCTCCAGACGCTTGTGGCTCTATGGACGTTGAGGCCCCAGGCTGCAGCCACAGCAGGAGGCTCAGGGGAGAGGTGAGCCCAAGGCTGAGCCCTTGGGCAGGGGTGTGAGCAACCTCCGGCCCTCAAGACCCCCAGTTCCTGTCCACCCATGAGACGCAGCAGCAAGGCCCCAGCAGGCAATGGGGTAGTGAAAAGGCACATATATTTAAAAATCTTTACATATGTACATGGGGATTCGTTATAAATACACAAGAACAGAAAGGAGACCCCAGCCACCTAGCAGGCCCCTGGGAACAGGGGAGGCAATAATTTAGGGAGGAGGTGCCAGGCAGGCAGGGGTTTTGCATATATTAATGGGGTGTCCCCGAGACTTG